GGATTTGCTAATTTGGAGAAAAGGTTACATGTGGATCTTGAGCCTCTGAGTAGCATTTAATGAGATTGTTCTGAGCCATCTTTAGGCACAGTGTGCCTATAATTGGGGTGGTTCAAAATGCTTCACTGCCCCAGGAGCAGTCAAGAGCACCAATTGGGAAAAAAAAGAAACCATCAAAATATACCCAAGGCTTTGGAACAACCATAATATTTTGAAAATATTAACACCCAAATGGCACATTCAAAATACCAAATATTTTGAAACTACAAAGGTATAATATCAAATCATGATAATATTCAAACAGATACATGTGCACACAACTACTACTGTGTTCTTTGAACTGAAGTTGTGTTTATATTTAGACATGATTGAATTAATATTCAAAAGCAAAATAAACTGTGCAAGACACAAACTCCCAAATCTATTTGGTATGAGTGATTTACCCAAAAATATACATACATACATACATATATGGATGGGGGAGTGATTTAATTAGCAACATTCATGTCCACAATCTAGTTCTGTTAATGAGGAATATAAGTGCTTGGGAAATCCAAGTGTCCACATGATATCTTCTTTGAACTCACTGAAGCAGTTATTGTAGAAACTACACAATTCTATCCTCCTTGTCACAAATGACACTCACCCTCCTTCATGTTTTGATTCTCATTTCAAACAACTCACATTCAAATGCAATCTTTTTCTAGTCATTGGCAAACCCTCACAACCAAAAAAATAACCTCTCTTCTTCCCTGTACTTTTTATTTATTATTTTTTTTTATTAATATTTTCAACCCCTTAACTGTCCACTTTAATCTGTGCAAGGATTGGCAAAGCTGGTGTACGATTCACCTGAGCCATGCTACCTTGACTAAGTCCCAAGTTTGTTGCCATTTATATTGTCTTCATTTATCATTTAGGGTTTGCAGTCTAGTGTATGTTAATTCTGCCGTATTTTTCTTCTTTGCAGTCTTTCATTATTTTAGCCCTAGTCACTGTTTCAATTTTGTTGAACTAGTTTGTCCCACTTCTACCCCATTGACTAGTCCTTTCAGAAAAGAGGGAAAAATCACAGACAAAAATTGTTGCTTTATTCAATTCCACTCATCATTCACTTATGTTTTTTTTGGAAGAAGATTGATTCTTGCACCATGTGAATTTAGCATACAAATAACCCTCAGCCTTCATGAAAGCCACCAAATCACCCATTCACATGTTGTTCTGACATAAATGAATGGTGAGTTGGCTAATACTCCAGTTAGCAAATCAAGCAATCATCCCTTGCTCCCATTCCCGGCCACAAAAAGACTACTGAACCATCAATCCAAATAAAAGCTAGAACACCAAAATTGGAGGGTGCATTGCATAGCATTGGGAGTTGGGAACTGCAGAACAATGCAGATCATACAAGCATGAAAAAAAAAAACTAGGAATCTCATCATTGTTTTGATCACATCAAAAAAAGTAGAACAACAAACAGACTGAATTAAGTCATGGTTTTATGTTTTCTATTTTCTGAAATGTTTTTGGCAAAAGAGTGAGGACCCGTTTGCATTAATGATAGTAAATCAAACAAGAGTGCCTGGGTCTCAACACCTCTAATTTAGGCCTCTCTTGGAAAAGCATTGGTAGGAGATAAACAATTGTCTTTTTGAAGCTGAATAAATTAGCTAAGACTATTTTTTCATTTGTTTTTGGATTTTTTTACAAATAGTCAATGTTATTTTGTAGTCCCAAAGAACATGGAATCCAGTTACAATCTGTTCATTGTTGCATGCATCCAATTCCCATACTATTGCATTCTTATTACCTTAAGCAGAATCCTAAACTACCAATTGTATTTATTCAACCCTTGTAAATTGATTACAGTTATTACCAATTGTAATCTGAAACAAAACTGATGTAACAATATTGATTGATCCAAATCTCATTTTAAATGTTTTTTTTTTTTTTTTTTTTTTTTTTTTTTCTCATTGACAATTGACAATAATTACTGAGCAAAACATAGGTTTCCTGCAAATGTCTACAACACACATATGTCTCTTAGGTTTTGCCCATATTGAGCAATGCAGCTTGCTGTGAACAACCACTATTACCTCATCTCTAAACCCATGAAAATTTACTAGAATGAAGTCACCCATTGAATTTGTTTTTGCCTTGATATTGTCACAACTTCATTTTGTATTTGAGTCAATGTGAAAAAAACCACTACATAATCATTTAGAAGCCCTGTAGAATAAATCATTGTAATTACATCATTTATGTAGGAGCTTGGTTTTCTTGTCACTTACTCATGGTCATAAACCGGCAAACAAAACTTTCATCAAAACTCACTCTATTCTATTGGCAGATTTAGCAATGGCCTTCTACTGGATTGTGCAAAGTGAAGGACTATGTCTCATATGAGCTGTCCTATATACTGCTCCCAAAATAAATGAAAACCACACCCCAATTCAGACTTTTTTTTGCTTCTATTATTCATTCAGATATTTAGTTAAATACAAAGAGACAAAGGTTGTTCATGGTTATTGGAGGCCCTTGGGTCAAACTCATCATTTTTTTGCTGAGTCTTATTTTCACATCATGTCAAAAAGAAGAATTCTGTAGAAAAATTGCTTGATGTATCTTCAGAGTATGACCACATATTGGGTGCAAAAAGAAGACACTTGTTATTTTTTTAAGGGACCCAGATACCCTATGACCGATTCCAAGCAAGAGCGTTCATCCGGGACACCCAAAATTAGGTCAAATCGGCAATTACTCATATAAAAGAAAATTGTTGCTCTTTTTTCAGGTGGGCATTCTATAACTGGGCACTTTTGGGGGCCTATGGTTGTGGGTGACTTGACTAACAAGCCCCCACATCACAAAGGCGCTGGCGTCTATTCTTTGCATAAAACATGGATTGATAGCCTTTATCCTCCACTAATCAATCATTTTAGTTGTTGGTGGATTCACTAAACTGGGTATTTAGTGGTGCAACTTAGCCAGAGTTGAGAAGTGAGCAGTGTGGATCTGCTTTTCCCATCTGTGGCTGCTTGATTTGCTTAAATCGGGCCTTACACCGGCATCTTGAAGCTCATTTGAGCCGTCTTTGTAGGGGGCCTATTAAGAAGAAGAATATTAGTATTTTAAGCTCCACTGAATGAAAGATATTATCCAACTCATGTCTTAATAATACAAAAATTTAAAAAATGTTAGTGAGTGAGATGAGAAGAGATGAGGGAGAAATTTTGGACTGATTCGTCCTGTTTCATAAATGATGCATTCTAGCTGCACTCATTCATTATTTTCCCTGAAATACCATTCATTCTATTATGATTCTACCAATCTTTGTAATATTTACTATAAAAAACACTTTAACTCACAGCTTGGAAGCATTGGAAAAACTTGTAACACACGGATCAGTTGATAACATCCACTGAAAACAAATTAATGAAAGTATATATTAGCACAATGTAAATAACTATTTTTAATGTTTATTCGTTTATTGTGTGTGGGATTGGAAAACTTGTCGAAAACATGAGTGAGAAACATTGCACGCCAAAGGACTTGAAACTGTGGTTCCACTTGTTGTCGTAAAGATTTCAACGGCACTTCGGAAGTCTGTGGAACGAACCTCATCATCCAATAAGTCATGGCACTAGGCGAGAATTATTATTTGGACTGGAACAAGTTGTCACACATGAATGGGGTTTCCAATTAGACTCTGTCCTAATTTATCTTTATTGTTGCCTATTCCTCCGAAGCAATGACAGTCACTTTCGGGTGCTCACAGGTGGGTCAATTTGCCAGCCGCCCTTTGAAACACACTCCCAAGTTGCCAAACAAGTCATTTCGTGAGAGATTTGTTCTGTTGAAATGAACCTGAACAAAAAGGCCACCTGTAGTCGATGGCTATGGCTCATGAAACTGGATGAATAAGAGGGTTTTTGCTGCTTCAGTGGCTGTTTTCTGGTTACATCATTCGAGCTTTGGATGTCGATGTCTCATCTGGAACCATCGCTGTCCACTAGGAAGATTAAAAGAAAAAGAGGAAGAACAAGTACCGCTCACGGATGGCTCAATTATCACAGAATTTACTGAAACAAAAGTCTTCCTACTTTCCAGAGGAACAATTTTCTTTTTCTGAGGGCTTGATGAAGACGCATGCACCAGCTCCATTGGTTCTCATTAAAATCAATCGGAAAATTCTCTTCAGTGGAGGCATGACCAGAAGGAAGAAAAATAAACTAGAAATAAATTTATTGAGTGAAAGAAATAAAAATAGTCAGTTTCCAACAAGGGGGACGACTTATTTCCCATGCTGTCAAGATCTAGACAGCCTTCGTCTTTGCGATTGTGAAGTTTTCGGATGCCCGTGGGGTTCTACGTACATGCATTGTTGTGATCCACATGTGGATCAATCAGTTGATTATCACGAAAACTGGTAAAATTCCAATGATTCACAGTAAAATACATAAATCTGGACATAGTTTCTAGAAGGAATGGGGAGTATTCCCTGTGCGACTAGTCTGGCAATTCTCTTTCTGGTCACAAGGAAACTGGGTTCTACCACATGAGCTTCGTAGCATTGCCCCCGATAATTCGCCCACCGGAAAGTTTTCGGCAAAACTTAGAGCCAGATTTGTAGCTATGCTCTTTCGGAGCATTAAATGCTCGTCCAGAAGGCTATCACAATCGCGAATGGGTAGTCCCAGTCACTGGAAGGAAGTCCTTTGGCTTTTGTTGCAAGGGAGGAAGAGGGTCCCATGTGCATTTCACCCCCCAAACCGCGGTGATTACAGCATGGAGCCACGGCTCTTGCCGAAATGAGAGTGAGTAACAAGGTCTTATCAAATGGCCTGATTGGCCTGCGTTTATTCATTACCGCGGACGGGGCAAGTAGAATTCCAGGCAGCTGGAGGTTCCCTAGAAAGCGCGCACCGGATGCGAGTGTCAGCCCATCGACGGGCCAGATCGACTCTTGGAGTTGCATCGCCTCGTGCCCCAGGAGTTGACCTCGGAGCAAGTTATTGCTTCGGGAGCAGCTTGTGGATCCATCGAGCTAGCCTTTCGTCGCCATACATATTGGCCTCTCACACACTTGGCCATATTATTCTCCCATCTCTTACCACTTCAAGCGTAGGCTGTTTTGTAGAGTGAGGTCGGACAAGGAAAAGAACGCCCCGCTACGTTGATAAGTACATAGCAGATCTCAATGTTGCAGCAATTGACAAGACGGTACTTTGCGCACAGCTCTTGCGTGCAAAGTCAGACAATCGGAAACACTGTCTGATACTGGTCAGTGGGACTGCAGGATTCGCAGAGTTGTTTACGTGGTCGGCGTATCGATCGATTGGTTTTGATTTTTGTTGTTGTTCAATTCTAGCCCTCTTCGACACTCATCTGTGACGGTCGCGTACATGAGCATAGAGCTTTGCGGAATCTGCCTTTCTACCCAGGAAAGGTAGTGAAGTGTTTCCATAAATTTTGCGCTCGAGGTTGAGAGATTCGGTAGCTAGTGCACTGTTGATTGGGGGTGACTAACAACCATGACTAGGGCTCCGGTAAGCAGCGCCAATGAGAAAGACGCTAGTCTTAAGAAAGGTCCGTGGACACCAGACGAGGATCAGAAGCTGGTGGCTTACATTCAGAAGCATGGGCATGGGAGCTGGCGCTCTCTGCCTCTTCATGCTGGTAAGTGGTCACTCACAAGTGGATGAGCGTGCACTGTTGTTGTAGTGTATACACTCCGTTTTTGTTTAGTTTTATTTTTTCTCTCCTCCTTGATAAGTGTAGCTTGAAAGTGTTGATCAGTTTCCTTGGTTACGAAATGCAGGGCTCCAGCGATGTGGTAAGAGCTGTCGATTGAGGTGGACGAACTACCTAAGGCCGGACATCAAGCGAGGTCGATTCTCACAGGAGGAGGACCAGATGATTGTGCACCTCCATGCGATTCTAGGCAACAGGTTAAGCTGCGTCGCTATTTCACTCTTAATTTCGCTTCTTATACAGTACTGTTGATGCAATTTGCCGGACGTCGTGTGAGAATTGATGTTTTCTCTGTTGCATTGTAAGAACATAATATTTTGAAATTTTACTTCTTTTTGTAACAGTTAGGACTAGTTATCTTGAATACCATTTTTTTAATATATCGCTTTCTTATTTATTTATTTATTTATATTGTAGGTGGTCAGCCATAGCAAGCCATCTTCCCCGCCGCACTGACAACGAGATAAAAAACTACTGGAACACGCACTTGAGGAAGCGACTGCTGCAAATGGGGATTGACCCCGTAACACACAAGTCCACAACCGCAGAGGAGCTCATTCTGGACAACATTCTCCCCGGTCTAAAGCCCGTGGTTTCTTCCAATCTCTCCCACATGTCACAGTGGGAAATAGCGCGCGCCGAAGCTGAAGCTAGGTTGTCTCGACAATCATCTTTAAATTCATCATCGAACTTACAACATTCTCACCAGGACTTCAACTTGAACACTAAAACGACTCCTTACCAGGGCGCATCAACCAACTTTATGAGCACCTGGAAGGCCCGAGTTGCAGAGACTTTGAGACCAGATTTCGGTACTGTGGAGCTCGACAAGGTGCCTGCAAATCCTGTCAACCTGCAAGCGTTTTTTCAAGACTGGGAGTCGTTACAAGCTCCACAAGTACTCGCGAAACCGTTTTCGGAGTATAACTGTATTGATTGCCCTGACTTGAGTTCAGGCGCTGCCTCAGAAGTCGTATCACCTCAATATAGCTGTGAGGGATCTCAATGCACTATGCCAGGATCCTCCACCATTTTCCCAACACCAGCCCAAATCAATGAGAGGCAGTTTGTGTCTCAATGCGATTTTTTCTCATCGCCTCGGATCGACCTGAAAAGCCGGTTATCGATAGGACCGTCAACTATGTTTCCCCTGTCTCGAATGAACTCCAACTCGGACAGCCAGTCCCTCTCCGCGGCAGATTCTAACCTCAATTATTCCGGGGCGTGCGCCGACACTGACAATCAGTTTTCGCCGACGAGCACGTTACATGCCCCTGACCATGATTCTTCTTACACAAATAGTCCTTGCGGTAGCAGCAACAGCGGTTCAGAGTGCTTCGATCTACTGGAGCAGACCTTTCCTTTGGTTAACCAAAACAATATCATCAAACCGTCGAGATCTAACATCGTGTTTCCGTCGGGACAAACTTTCTGGTCTCGGCAGCAAGTGGCAATGATGGACGGCTTTCAACTCGACTCTTACTTTCTCCCTGAGCTTGAATTAGCCTCGCTGAAGCCTCAGAGCTTCAACGTCGGTTCCACAGCACCAATTTTGCATCAAGTTGAAGTTCCGAACGACATTTCCATCTCCCACTTTTGATCTTTACAATAGTGTGATTTTTGTTGAATACTTGAAGATCTTAAATGTAGCAAGTAGTTTCTCTGGAAGTTTTTACTTAATGTTGTTGAATAGTGCCGCGTACAAATTTTAACAAACGGCTTGGCTAGTATAATATCCCACTGTGGGATTGTGCACCAATGCTGACGACAATTGTGAATGGCGGAGGAGACATCGAATAGGACTATTCGATCTCCGCGTTTGAAACTTGATGGATTCCCTTGCTCTCTGCTCTGCCCTCATCGTCTAGACTTGGGAGAATCGAGAGCCGCGACGGGCGAATATGGGGAATGCGTAGGCAGAGCCCAAGTTTTGTAGATAGTTGAGCATAGGATGGCGGGGTGCTTGTAATTGACAATCTTTTTGATCGCTGCTCTACACCAGGAGCTAAAGCATTTGTAATATGACATTTTTTTCGAACACTTCCAGCTTCAGCATTGTAATTTCATGTCGTTGTCGAATTCAAATGTATATTGGTATGATCTGTTTTCGTGTGTTGCATAACCAGTGGGTCTGTCCTTATCAGTTGTTACAAGGTTTTGTTTCATGGTGTTTACGCGGTTTCATTTCAGCAGTAACAGCTTGATCCCTCGGCTACAGAATGATTGTCGACTGAATTACTCGTGGACATCCAGCATTCTGACGAAGCGATTCAGCATCCTGCCACTCAGACTTTCACCTGACATTTTCTTCCTTCAGTCATTGCCAGTGCCAAGGCATAGCATAAGTTGTCAAAGGAGATGGCCCTCATGGCGCATCGATGGACCTCATCTAGGTTGTCGGAGGACTAACTCTCGCTCTACTCTGCTAAATCTGTGGATTTTTATAGTCTTTGATGTTGTCAGAGAACACCTCCTTCGACCTCAACTTGGACCAAAATGATGCTTTCTGTCACGACCAATGGGTTAAAGGTAGCCTCCAGATGTCTACTTGTCGGATATGCTACTTCCTCAAGTGACCAGTGCGACTACAAGCGCCGATTCTTTTTAAAGACTTTTGAGGTGGGATGAACGTAATTTGTATGTAGATTCATCAACCCACCTCAAAAGTCTTCAAAGCCAGGATGATGAGTCTAAATACAAATTAACTTTCAGCTATTACGAAGTGTTTTTATGTGGCAGATGTCTTACCCACAACACATGAGAGTCTGCACCAGACCTGAGTCATGTTAGCCAAGAGACTATATCCGAGAGCATCTTCTATCACACTACAAATCTAGCTCTGTAAATAGCACATCGTCGTCTCCGTCGACCGCACACTACCATCTAGATGATATGTGCTAACTGCAAGGCCAGATTCTCCACCCATACTTATGCTAAGAGCTGCAATGTCGTCTACGCTGCTGCACCTTCGAACTATTGATAGATGTCAGATTGTTTATTATTGACAGACACGACCGGTTCTGAAGCACATGGATGCACCAAGTTGGCTTGGATATGATAGATTGGCGATTTCACATGTATATTACAGTGACCTGGACGTATCTTCCGACTGTGGGCTCTGCCATGCCAAGTTTCATGCAAGAGCCCATCATCCATCGATGAAGGAGATAGTGTTGATGTCTTTAAGGCCCAAATCATGGAGACTGTCTCCGGACGGGTGCCATAATAGGGTGATTTGACACAACTCCCTCCTCTGATAGACCCAGATGAGGCTGGATAAGAAAGATCTTCCCGCTTATTAATTTCTTGTATTCATTTCGAAAGACTACTCGGAGTCAAAAAAGTCATACTCGACAAGTAATTTCCAAAATTAACAGATACAAAGCTTCTTGTACCTCACAATCTGGCCCAGTACGAGGCTAAAGCCGTGTTTCCGCCGCACTATGTTACCCCTTCTTAATTGAAGCAACGACTAAATCACTTGTGTGTCAAGAAAATTAATGAAAATACAGGTGTTTTACCACGGCCATGATATGAATGCTGTTCGAGGGGCGAGCTTAACCTTATTTTCGACTCTGATGTAGTCCTAAGCGAGCCATTGGTCCTTTACGAGGAGCTGCTGCAGCATATCGGGGATTTTAGACTACCCTTACAATTTGCGACTTGAAAAAATTCGAAAAGTGTGATTTTGACGCATCTAAGCTAAGTATGGAGTGCGGTGTGTACCCTCAGCAAATAGGTTCATTGGAAGAAACCAGATCCTGGTAGCAAATGACACCTGTTACAGGATATGTGCTGAAGTGAACAGTATGAAGACCTCCATGCTGTCGAGAACCTTTACATTCAGCTAACCTAATCGATGATCACCAGAATAAGCAAGCGGCCTTTTCATGAAATCATGGGAATCGTTCACTCCTTTACCGAGTTCTCGTAAGTTTTAGTTCGTTGGATCTGAAATCTGACTGGAAAAAGGACTACCGTAATTAGCTCCAGCACCGCCCCTCGTCAAAGATGCTCGAGACCTCAAGCCGTGCCTATGGGACTTCTGGATTGACGGCACTGGATCATGTCCCCCTTCCATTGACCGTTTTAAGCTAGTCCATGAATCTATCTGGATGGATATATATAGATTCTCATCTCGTGTGGCTTGTTCATCATCACATGGTTAAAAGAGCGTAGCAGTGTGGGCCCTATAAAAACCAGGGGTTACCAATGATATTTCTGGAAGACAGTCCGGATCCATCCATACTGATATTTCGATGTTTGTCGTCGCTCTTGTTGCTAGCCGACTCGCAATTATAAGGACAAGAGTTGTCAAAATTCTGCTCCGCCTTTGCAGGAGCCTGAGCCCAGTTGCGACCACTGGAGAGAGATGGGACTGTCACATACTATGGTCATTCGAGGCAATATAATGCCCTCAGAGTACTGCATCCTTGTAGCAGACAACAAGGTCTTTCTCAGTCAGACCATCACTAATATCATCTGGAATGACCATGTAGTTCCCTCCTGAGTCAATAGGAAGTACTCGTTGCTTGCTTTGCGGCTTTGGGTTATTTCGCTTCGTTCATTAACTGCTTAAGTTATGGGGTGCCGGAGAATAAGCAAAACCTGTTTTAACTGATAATCACTAGTGCAAAGGATTAAGCCTTAAATAGTCAAGTCAGCATGCTCTGTCGAAAAAATTCCTTTGTTATCTGAAGTTCAACTTAAATTTTTGACACGAATAGCACTGGAAGAAGTTTACATCACTGCCTTGTTGCAATTATCTGTTGAATGAAAGGGAGAGTCCCTCCAAGAGGGTGAGATTTTCCTAGCATTGGGCTACTGAAACTACACCGATATAAATGTACTTCACAGTAAACTGCATTGAATTTACTTCCTTTCATCCTATTTTAGATTGACTTTTTTGTGTCCAAATGGGCTGGTATTTTGTCTTCTGTTTTGTCGTCTGCCATTTTTCTAGCAACATGGGTTCTTTTCTCAAAGTACATCCCTGTACATGCGACCAGCTTCATCCACATTATACAGACAGTGTATCACGCTTTCTTCAGGCTTTTGCTCTGATATACAACATTACCTACTACCATTTCGTCTTTGATGTACAAACCTCACTTTCCAGTTACTGCTCTCCTGCTCTGTTGATGTGGTCTCCAATCAATTCAAAGGTCAGGGTCTATTATACATCTTCGTCGGTTCTTTTTTCTTTCTTTTTTTCTTTATTCTCTTCCCCCAATAGGCCAGGAGTAAGATTCTCATCATTAAATTAGATTCACATATGACGCCCAACATGCTCCCACATTCTGTTAAGGTTTTTCATACAACTGCTCCGAACATTATCATAGACTACTACTTTCCGTCAAGTTTAATGAATCTGTGTCACATGATACCATGTGGCATATAGTAGCATTCTTTGCTTCACAAATGTGGGCACTAGCTCAGTTTTTTTCGACGAGTGATATTCCTTCTAACCGCTCCGATTCTATCTGCATTTGAACATTTGAGTTTGTTTTCCTTCCGAAGGATAATATGAGAGTTGCCTAGCTCTAGCCTTGACATTTGCACATGCTATCAGCAGATTAACTGCATAGCGCAGAGAAATTTGCGACGACCATTGAGTTTATCTTGGGTTCAAACCTCTGATTAGTCATGGAAGCCCAAGAGGGCTCAGATTTTAGATATGGGATGCTCAGTGATCGCCTGGCGTATGATTGAATCATATTTAAGAACACACATTTTTATGCATTTATTATGACTATTGTCTGATGGAACAGAGGCAGAGGTTCATGGCGCCGCTTTTCCTTCAAATACTATGGTAGTTCACTTATTCGTAGATGATCAGCGAGTCACGTAAAAAGGCATCTTCCTAGGTTTGAACATCCTTTTTGTAAAGGAATCTTCTACTATTGGTGTTCAGAAGAACAAATGATTAAGTGCAGTTATTCTCAATCACACTGGCAGACAGTAAAAATGCCTTTTCGTGAGTGCCGAAGGTGTAGCCGTCTCACTCAACAACGTGCTCAGATAAGTAAGTGCAATTGATAGACCAGAGGTCGCAATCTACACAGCAGGGTCGACAACCGCATCACGAAAATTGCACACAGGTTGTACTCACGACCGAAAACAGCAAGTCTTTGATTGATGAATTAGGGAAAACGATGCTTTTAAAACCATCGAAGTGAACAGTAAGTCTAAGCCAGTCTAGTACACTCGTCCATATCATTTTCTAACATTTCGTGGTTATTCAAACCCCATGGTTGTGAACTTCGGGTGGATTCTAAGATTATTCGAAAGAATACAGTCCAGCAGGAGGACTAATGTACATCTCCAACTGTCTAATATGATTGCTCTGTGACCGGCTTGTATTATTCGTGTACGCGTAAACACGTTGAGCTGTATAAGAAAGTGGCGACGGAACTTGAATATGACAAACTCTCTTATTATGTAGCCACCAATTTGGAGCCTCGAAGTGGGTCATGTGTTAAAACTCTAGTAATAAAGAATGAAGTTCATTAACCCCATCTGAAACACAGGAGGTAAAAAAAGAAAAGTGACAAGTCTTGAAAGGTGTCTTCCAATTGCCCGTGCCTACTCAAGAGCAATCTGACGTGCGACATGCACTGTCGACAAGTGTCGGGAAGATTTCGGAGAAGGTGGGTGTCCTTCCTCTAGACTTGAGAACCAAATGGTGGCAGTCCCATCGGATTAGCGGCTGAATCGTAGAGAGGGGAGAGAATGGTGGTGAGCGGCATGGGGTTAAGGATTTTGGCGGAAAGAGCTGCTGCTGCTGATGCAGCGAGGGCTGTGGCATCCATCCGCCTTGGGACCACCGCGGGATGTTGAGAGCTTGACTCAATTGATACTACTGATCGATCAACGACCTCCACAAGCTCCCTTGCGATGATGCAAACCGGAAATTGGTGTTGCACGTTGAGTTGAATTTTGCCGCAAACCTGGCTTCATCTTTTAGTCTCTTCATGAGAAAATGTTGCTCCAGACGAGCTTTGCACCGCTCTTTTCAGGGCCTTGGAGGTCACCGCACC